CACACACACACACACACACACACACACACAAACACACACACACATACACGCTCACACACACACACACACACACACACACACCGACCGTCTGCGGGTGTGAGCACTTCGCTCTCGTCGATAAAGTCACAGTCCAGCGACTGAAGAATCTGGACAACGCAGCGTGCAGGCAATGCAAAGAGGTCAGTGAGAACCAAGCCATATTATCAAGACAAGGAACGGGTGTCAACACGTTTGTTGTGTAGTTCGGTGTTTGCATGCATGCATACATGTGCACAGACAGACAGACACACACACACACACAGAACATACACAAACAGAACATACACACACGCACAAACAGATCACACACACACACACACACACACACACACACACACACACACACACACACGCAGAACATGTGCACAACCTGCGCCTCGACAAAGTGACCGATGCGGGCCTTGGCCATGACGGGGATGGTGACGGCTGCCTTGATTTCCTTGATCAACTTCGGGTCAGACATGCGCGCCACACCGCCTGTGGCATGTGGAGGTGAGTGGCATTTCATGAGAGGGCGCGTGAGAGTACTGGCGATGCTTGAGGCTCACACGAATCGCATGCTTACCTCGCACACACACAACATAACACACACACACACACACACACACACACACACACCCACACCTTCAGCGCGAATGTCGGCGGGAACACGCTCAAGCGCCATGATGGCGCATGCGCCGCTCTTCTGCAGACCATGCAAAGGAACAGCAGAGTGTCAGAGTAAGCGGTACGCTCAAGCACCCTCGCTCGCAAACCACACACAGCATCTCCCCCCCCCCCCCAAACACACACGCACCTCTGCCACTTGGGCCTGCTTGGCGTTGACAACGTCCATGATGACGCCGCCCTTCAGCATCTGCGCCAAGCCCGCCTTGACCGTGTACGTGCCTGCGTACCAAGCCACACGCGGCCATCATTCCGTGAACAACCGCTGCACAGGTGCAACGCGTGGCAGCAACCGTATCCAACACACACACACACACACACATACACACACCTGTTTGCTGGGCATCCTTCTCTGTGGTATCAGCCATGGCTGCAACGTTGTCTGTCGTTCGTTGTATTGTTCTGCTCTCCTACTGCGCTGCACTGGGCTGGATGAAAAATGAAGCAACATTCGATCGTCCGTGCATGTGCGGTCGCACCAACAACAGGGTGCGCAATGTGTTGCAAGACCGCCAGCTAGCAGCCACAGCGGCCACACACACACACACACACACACATGCATGCTTCTTGCTTGCTTCATCTCATCACCACTGATGGTTGTTGCGCCAAGCCGTCGCGAAACACAAACAAAAACAAATCTGCATCAGCAATTTGGTGGATATAGACGATAGCGCAGTTTTGATGCGCATTCACAAGCCAAACGCTGCGTTTAATTGCCACGAGTTGTATACAAGCGCAGGACACGACACCACATGACGAGCCCCGTCAGCTTGTTGTGCTCGTTGTGCTCGCTGTGCTCGGTGAGTTCAATGCTGCTTCCACGTCTGTGATGGTCTTGGGGCAGTGGCGAGAAAGAACAGTGGAACGGCCATTCACCAACGCAACATCGTCCTCAATGCGCACCCCAATGCCGCGGTACCTGTGGTGTGTGTGGTGGGGGGGTCGACGATATTACCTCAATTCTTATATGATTGTTAGCATTCCAAAGCATTAATGAATTTCATGAGTGCTGGAACGTTCAGTCTTGCACGTTTAGGATTGGCAGAGATACGGATGGAGAGTGAATGGGCCCTCGCACGAGCGTCGTCCGCCGGCGCCAACAGCAGGGGGGGGGGGGGGGGGGTGGAAGGGGGTTGAATTGAGTTGACGTTGACATGTTGGTGCGATACACACACAAATACACTCGTACGTGCAAGGAAATCTGTTTAAAGTCAATCCCATCCACCCCATCCATCCTCACCCGTTACAAAGCCCACCCTCTCCTCCACCTCCACCATTACAACCTCCCCCACGTTGTTGCTCACCTCTCTGGGAACCTGGCGTCCTGCGGCACGTACATGCCCGGCTCCACCGTCACCACCATGCCGTCCTCAAAGCTCTGCGCCATCGGCACCGTGCGCGTGTCGTGCACATCCAAACCAATGTAGTGGCCGATGGCGTGCGGGCACAGATCACGTAGGATGGTGGCGCGTGCCGCCTTGGGGCTTGCATGCGACAGCAGGCCAAGCTGCAGCGCCTCCACCTCAAGCGCAGGCATAAACACGTTCTGCGTGCGTGAATGTGTGTGTGTGTGTGAATGTGTGTGTGTGTGTGTGAAAGAGAGTCAGTTACAAAAAGCGAGTCAGTTACAAACACTTTTGAAGCGCCGCACACACACAATCACGCAACCACATACAACCACACACACACACACATACACGCCAACACACAACCTCCCCTCCCCTCCACCCCCCATCCCCCCAACACACACACAACCTCCCCTCCACCCCCCTCCCCAACACACACAACAAGCACACAACAACACCCACGTGGTGCAGGTCCTGTAAGCTGGTGACGGTGCGGGTGTCGAGGGCATCGAGGCACTTGAGCTGCACGCGGAGCACGGCGTTATACACGTCGGCCTGCGCAGCGGAGAAGCGACCGCCAACTGGCCAGCACCGCGTAATGTCGCTGCAGTACAGCCCATATTCGCACCCGGCGTCCACCAGCACCAAGTCGTGGTCGTCTGTGCCCACGGGCATGCTGTTCTCCACGTAGTGCAGCGTGAGGGCGTTGGAGCCGCCAGCTACGACGGGCGGATAGGCGTGCATGGAGGCGCCCTGCTGGCGGAACGCGTTCTCCAAATGCGCGTCAATGGCGTGCTCGTTCTGGCCCACGTGCGCCGTGCCCATCGTCACGCGGAACCCCTGTGACGCAATGGACGCCGACGCCTGCATCATCTCAACCTCATGCGCAGACTTGAGCAGCCGCGCACGGTCGATGGGGCGAGAAGCGGGCAGCGTCTTGTCAGAGGGCACGTGCTTCAAGATGGACGTCAGGAACGAGCCGTCGTGCTGCTGCGTCGACGACACCACTGGCGTGTACTGCCGCGCATACCGGCTCCCCAGCACATGCTCCAGCTGGTCTGTCACATGTGGTGCGCGCGCGTGCGTGTGTGTTTTGTGTGTGCGCGTGTGTTTTGTGTGTGCGACAAGAGGGGTGAGATTGTAGACGCAAGAATGGGCTGCGAGGAAACCGTGACTTGCATACACGTGTATGCAATCGGACGCACACGCGCTGATGTATACATACGCACAGGTTCACACACACACACACACGAACACACACACATACACACACACACACACACACCAACCGGCGTATGCTGGTTCTACGGCTGGCCCACATCTGCTGGCCGCTTCCTCGGCAGTCATGCGCGCTCCGTTCCACAGCCGGTCCGACGCAGACTGCAAACGTGGAGCGAAAGACAAAGAAAGGAAGGGTAGAAATGAATGGACACTGGTGTCAGTCAAAGAAAGGAGTGGCAAACGCAAAGGTGGCGGCAACACTGTGTACATGTCCTGTGTACATCCCATCCTCGCCCTTGCGCGTGCCCAGTCGAAGCAGCAGCAGCAGCAGCAGCAGCAGCAGTGGTGTCTGTTCACAGCACCTGCTGCTTGGTGACGAGGATGGTGCGCTCAATCTGCTGTGCTTCGCTTGTGATGAGGATGAACGCCGCAGGTGTCTCGCGTGCAAGCCCCGTCAAATAAAAGAAGTTGCTGTTCTGTTGGGTAGGAGTGGGGTCAGCGAGTGCGGCTGTGAGCGCCTGTGGTCGAATTGCCTCATGTCAAGCACCGTGCACGAGCATGCGCACAAATTGAATGTAGCTCTCATCTTCACACTCACACACACGCACACTTGCGCATATGTACGCAAACACAAACACTCACACACATACACACACACCTGTCTGAATCTGTATGGGATGTCGTTGGTCATCAGAACTGTGGGTGCTGAAGGGACGATGACGATGCTTTGTGGGGGCACGTTGTGAGCCACCGCCTCGTGGCGCCTTCGCAACTCATCACTTGGCGGGTGTGCTGTGAACGGTACGCATCAGTGGGGGGAGTGTGGATGAGGTTGATGCGTGATGAGTGTGATGGAAGGAAGGGGTTGATCCATGATTGTGACACGCAAACAAAAGGTCATCACACACACACACCTGGGAGGCGGCAGGATGACAGCTGTTGCTGCTGGTGTCGGTGCTGGGTGCCAGTGAGCGAGGAAGACGACAGCCACAACAACCTGCGGTGGCGAGCTGCCGTCGCCATGCATCGCCTTCCGGCAACGAGGGCCGTTCCCGACAGCATGTTGTGGTGGCGTGTTTTGCGTGCGTGTGGAAATGCGCCGGCTGTGAGTGGAAGGAACATCCAACTGCCGTTTGTTCTCCTGACTCTCTTTGTTTGTCCCTGCCGCTGCAACACACACACACACACACGACCACACATGCTCTTCTCCTCTTCTTGCTTGTCTTTGCATCTCGAGTCGTTCCCTTCCCTTTATTTGTTTGCACAAGTGAAGAAGAACCAAAGCATGTCTTTGAACACACAAGCACAATGCACAGAGAGAAATGTACACATATGGGGTCACAGCAAGACACAAAACCACCAGAGGGGCACAGTTATAATGTAAGTACACGTCCTTCACGCGTCATCCACGCATCATCCACGCATCATCCACATTCTCCTTTTCCTTTCACATCATCGCCATCATCACACGTCAGGCCACCGCCGTGGCTCAGACGGCGTTGTCCCCGGTCTGTGGCGGCGGCACAACGCCGTCGTCGTTGGATGTCGTCACGTCTGCAGAGTTTGACTTGGCGCGCTTGCGGGTGACAACGACGGCAGCAACGGCGGCCACGAGCACGAGCACGCCCACGACAATGCCGGCCACAGCGCCGCCAGAGAGGGAGGCTGCCGAGGACGCGTCGTTGTTGGGGTTGGCGGTGGTGGTGACGGGGTCGCCAAGGCCAATCTCAGTGGTGGACCTCGGGTAGCTGTTGGGCGTGGTGTACACGTTCTTCTTGGTCGTCGTGTAGGCCTGCGTGGTGGTGGCCGTCGTGTAGGCCTTGGTGGTTGTCGTTGTCGTCGTGTAGGCGGGCGGCGTGGTGGTGTATGCTGCCTCCGTGGTGGTTGTTGTGTACGGGCGGTTGGTGGTCGTGTAGCCCTGGGTGGTGCTGTCGGGCACGGTGTCGTTCTTGAGAAGGCACTCCTCGTGCCACGTGCAGTTGCTGTTGTACGAGCACTCGCCCTCATCCTGTCAATGGTTCGTGGTGGCAAAGGTGGTGGTGGTGATGATGGTGGTGGTGGCGGAGATGATGATGATGGTGAGCATGGTGGAGGCAATGGTGAGGAGAGTTGAAACACAAACCCCGAGCAACAAGAACAAGAAGAACACGAACAACGACCAGAAACAACACGAACAACAAGGACCATCTCGCAGCAAGTTCAGTCCCCTTCTCCTTACCTGAATGTAGACGCATGGGTGCTGCATGGCGTAGCAGAAGCCGGTGTAGTCCCACTGGCAGCCGTAGTGGGCCTCGCAGTCCACGCGGTAGGCGTAGTCGCACGCGTACGCGTTCAGGGGCTCGCACGTGCCAACCATCTCGCATGTGGTGGTGGTGGTGGTTGTCGTCGTGGTCGTGGGGCAGTTCTCCTCAAGCTGGCAGCCAACGACGCTGGTGCAGTTCTCGGTCTGAAGAAGATGAAGAGGAGGAAACAGCAAACAAAGGGATTGGTGAGCGTGGCGCATCACACACGGGTCGTTGGAAGTAGCAAAGCTGTGTAGCAAGCTGTGTAGCAAGCTGTGTAGCAAGCTGTGTAGCAAGCTGTGTAGCAAGCTGTGTAGCAAGCCTTGAGAACTCCAAAAGCAAGCACACACACACTCCCTCCCTCACACACACACACACACACACACACACACACACACACACACACACACACACACACACACACACACACACACACACACACACACACACACACACACACACTCACACACTCACTCACTCACCGCAATGTACTCGCAGCCAAAGACAATGTCCATGCACTGGCCGGTGTAGTCCCACTGGCAGAGCTCGTTGTCATTGCATGATTGAGCGTCGTACAGCTGGGAGCACGGCTTGGCCTTCTCCGTGCACACAGAGGGGCACGTGGTGGTTGTGGTGGTGGTTGTCGTCGTAGTCGTCGTCGTGGTGGTGGTCGTTGTTGGGCAGTCCTCGATCACCATGCACTGCTGGTAGTACACGCATGCCTCAGCCTGTTGTGCAAACGCAGATGTGGGTGGACGCGTGGCAGCTTATGAGCAACACAGAACCGGCCAATGCACGACAACAGAAATGTAGGAGACACACAAGCAGCACCAAGTGCACTCAACACACAGACACAATCAAGCTTACACACACACACACACACACACACACACACAATCCAACTCACTCACACACACACAATCCAACTCACTCACACACAACGACACAAACGCAGAGCACTCACGGTGCGGTTGGAGCAGCCGAGGTCCTTGTCCTTGCACGAGTTGGTGTAGTCCCACTCGCACGCGTCCTCAGCCTGGCACGCCTGCGCATCGTAGATCTGCGAGCACGGCTTGGGCTTGTCCACGCACAGAGAGGTGCAGGTGGCGGTGGTTGTCGTCGTGGATGAAAAGGTGGGGCCCGTGCCAGAGCCAGAGCCAGAGCCATCCATCGTTGTAGACGTGGTCGTCGGTACTGTGGTCGTCTGCAGTGTGGGGCCTGTGCCAGAGCCTGAGCCATCTGTCGTGGGTGCTGTGGAGGTGGTCTGTCCCGAAGCGAGGCAGGCGCAGACGAGCAGCGCCGCAGCTGTAAACAGCATAGTCTTCATCGTGCCGATGGCGTGTATCGAAGCGTAGGTGCTAGTGTGTTTGGTTGATGCGAGAGGGTGTGTAAAAGCCTCGATGCGTCGAAGAGTGCGTTGGAGAGTGTGCGAGAGTGAAGCTGGTGTTGCCGAAGCTAGTGAAGCTGTGATATCCAAAGCAGGGCTGGGTCCTGGTCTCAATCGCAATGCTGCTTCTCCTTCTCCTTCTGTTCCTCCTTATTTGTCCTTCTGCTTCAGCTTCCTGTTCTTCTGCTCCTTATCCTTGTGTCGCTATCGTCGATCAATGTCCTTGGGGCGTCTTGTGAGCGTCTTGTGCGAGTCTTGTGCGTCCTGTGCTTGTGCTGGCTCGAAGAGATGGCGATGATGAAAATGAACACTCGCTCGCCATCAGCGCCACATACATCGCCCGCCCGAGGTGCATTGTGGCCGCGTGCGCTCACACGCTCGCAGGAGCAGCCCCCATTATGCCGTGGCTTTCCTTCCCCTCTGTGTCAAAACCCTGAGTGCGCAGGCACGAACACCCATTGCTATTCACGGCGTTCTCAGGCTCGGGATGAGTGCGGCGTGACGTGAATGCGTCCCGTCATCGTGTCATGCACCCCTTTCTCTCTGTCTCAGCGAAGCCATTGCTGCCGTCCAGTTGTGAATGTGTGCATGTGTGTGTGTGTGTGTTGTGTGTTGTGTCGTGTGTGTTGTGTGTGTGTGTGTGTGTGTGTGTGTTGCGCGCGTGCTTGCTCTGTGTGCATGTGCATGTGTGTCTCATGGCACATGGTTGCTCGCTGCCTGCGCGCCTGCCTTGGTTCGTGCATCGTTGCTGTTGCCGTTGTTGCTTGCTTGCTTCTTGCTGGGTGTGGAAGGACCAATGCGCCAAAATTCTGCTGCCGGGAAATTTGAATTTCGACAGGAAATGGCTGAAATGACACAACAAACAACAGCAAACAGACAGAAGCGCACCTGCCACTCACCCGCCTCCCACCATGATTTGAATGTGAATGTGTCGGGTCACAACATCACATCACAGTCAAACCAACCCCTTGCTTGCTCGGTTGCATTGTGGGACTGTGTACTTGCAGTTGTAACGTTGTAAAGGCACAGCTCCTGACAGGAAACGTCATATGGGACACGCGTGAAGAACAACACACACACACACACACACACACACACACACACACACATCGACACAACAAAGGGGGTGGGGATGCAATGCACCATCATCATCAACAGCCATCACCAACAGCACCGTCGTCATCGTCATTGGTAGCAGTAGCATCATTGAGGTCGTAAGCAAAACAACAAAACCGAACACAGAACACAGAAACGAGCAAAGGGGAACAAGGTGGGGGGGGGCAACCTAGGTATGGTACGCGGCAGAAAATAAAACAACACACAACCAACAGCGGAACAAGGCGGCACGACATTCTCTTTCTCAAACACACACACATGTAAGCGAGCTAATTAAGCGAGGACTTTCACACAACAACAAAAACAACAAAGGCAAAAACGGTCAAGCAAACGGCGGCGACACGCGAAAGAGACAACCGGACAACCCTCTCCATCACCACGTGTACATCATCGTGTTTGCAGCCTGTACTGCACTTGGCACACACACACGCACATCAGTTATCGTCGTTGTCGGTGTCGTCCTGATCTTCGAGCGGCCCCGCCGATTGCGCAAACACATCCGCACTCGCGTTTGCGTTCGGCGCCGATGACGACGACGACAAGAGGGGCGTGGCTGCCGTGTGTGCTGCGGGGTGTACTGATGGCTGCGCTGTTGCAGCCGCGGCGTAGTCCCGCGAGAGGAGGCGGGCAAAGAGAATGGCGCCAAAGAGCGTGCCCAGCAGCGCGCCAGACACGACATCCGCCGGCGAGTGACGGTGATCAGACACTCGGCTGTCGTTGTTGTTGTGATGGCGGGGAGGGGAGGGGGGTGTTGAGGGTTAGGTGGAGGCGTTTCGTTGGAAGACGTGACATTGGGAGAGCGTTTCGGTGATTCACGGGGAAACGGTGGTAACACTTCACAGCAACCAAACACGTCAGCACACACACACACACACACACACACACAACACATAACACACACACACACACACACACACACACACACACCACACACAAAACACAACACACAAAACACAACACAACACAACACACGCACACACACAAACACAGCAACGCACCTTGCAGCAACAAAGGCTGCAAAGACGATGGGCCAGAAGCAGGCGAGATAGCCAATGTCGGCGACCATGAGGCCAAAGCGACTGTACCACCGCCGCGCAGCGTCGCGCCACGGCAGGTTCTGAAACAACACGAAATAAAGAAAATGGGGGTGGGGGGAGGGGGATGGACGAGAGGATTGGAAAAGGAGAACAAGGTGAGGGCTAGAGGATGGCGCGGAAGATGGGGGCCAGATCAACACAGATGAAGTTTGTGGAACACACACAGACAGACACACACACGCACACGCACACACACGCACACACACACACACACACACACACACACACACACACACACACACACACACACACACTGACCACGCGGCGGAAGTATGCAGTCCAGATGAAGTAAGCGGTGAGGAAGACGCCGCAGGAGAAGGTGGTGCTGGAATGGCCAGAGGGAAATGACTCGCGCGCGTTTGAGCCAACCTGCTGCGTGCACACAATCACGCCGTCGGCGTCAAATGACGCGACTGCATCGTGCGACCCCAGGCACCGCGCAACAAAGTCGGGCCTGGAATGATGGCGCGTACGCGCGAGAGAGAGCGAATGATACAGTGGACACGGTGTGTGAGAGAATGATACAGTCAACAAGATGAAGGTGCGCCGCACGGAAACACACACACACACACACACACACACACACAACGAATTTCACAACTCCCTCCCTCTCTCCATCTCTCTCCATCTCTCCCCACCCCGCCCTCCCTCCCCTAACCCAACCGTACCTCGGCTCGCCAATCCAGATCTTGGTAAACTCAGTAAAGGCAACAGTGTAGAAGAAGCCCTCCAACATGCCCAGGCCCACGTTGAACCCCATAATCACCCGCGTCTTCAGCGTCACCGACCTGAACACACACACACACACACACACACACACACACACACACACACACATTTGGTTCGGAAACAGGAGCGGCGGCAACTCACAAGGTCAGCACACACCGCAGATTGTATCGTACGTTGCACATGCAGCAACACACTCCACCCTTCAACAAAAGCTCCCCTTTTTCTCTACACACACATGGATGCATGTGATACTCACCGCACGAGCCAGATCTCCAGGCCAAGGACAACAAAGGCCATGGCGAAGATCCACAGGAGAAACGCCCATGTCGGAACAATCTCCTTCTCCACCATGGGATAGCGGTACAAGACATGGTTGAACTCATTCACAGTCCTGATTCATGGTGTGACACAACAGGTGTGAGACAGCATGCAACGACGGTTCTTGTTGAGCATGGCACACACACACACGCATCGAAGCACACACACATGTCGAAGCACACCCGCCCCCCCGCCCCCAAACACACACACGCACTCACCAGTCTGTGTTCGCGTGGGCCTTTATTCTGGAGATGACAAGCAAGGCGAGGGCAGTGAAGAAGCTGGGCCACGAAATGTCGCGCCAGTACTTGAGGCCGGACGCGGGCAGGGATGGCGCACACCTTTGTACACTCCCTTGCACAAGCTGTGCCGTCATCTGTGGTTTGGATCCCACCGCCTGTGTCTCCTCTTCCAACTGCGACAGCTGCGATGTCACACTCTGGCGTGCCATGCTGATGCTTTCTATGGTGGGTGATGTAAACCTTTGATGCCTTCCCTGTCCTCAACCGCGTAAGTGAATGCGATGCACGCTCACTGCTCGTGTGATGTGATCTCGCCGCTGCAGTTTCTGGTGCGTATCCGCGACCTCGCTGGTATGCGCTGAATGCAAGAGCTCTGGCTCTGGCTCTGGAGGACAGGTGGAGGTGGTAGAGGCCGCGTGGCTACGACAACAGCGTTTGGTGGTGGTGAGAGAGTGGAGTGGGAGTGGGTGGTGCGAGAACAACACGGGGGTGGGGTGGGGATGGCACCTGCTGCACTGCTGCTTGTGCCTGTTGTTGTGCCTGGTGCTGAGTGCGACGTGCTCTTCCTTTGTGCTTTGTTGTTGTTGGAGGAGCAACGCAACGTGCGCCCTTCGCTCCTGGTTTTTCTGGAGCAGCAGGGCACGCGCCTCGCCCTGTTTCGTGTGGCAAAATCACTTCCTTGCGGCCCGTGAGCAAGTGGTCAGGAATGGCAAACGCAAATTTGCCACCAAGCACATTGTGCGACGACATCATGTGCTGTTGTGTGAAAGGATCGCTTTTCTTTTTTTTTCTTTTTTTTGTGGTTCGCGCAACAACGAACAGTCCTACCCCGCGCACGTCAGGTTCGATTGCGTTTTGCAGTGGCGATGGGCGTTTGGTTGGGTTTGTTGTGGTTGTCCGTGAGTTGGTATGTGTGGTGTGCGCAAACACAAGCACAAGCACCCCATACGCAAATGCACCACACACACACCAACCCATACCATACCGTGTTCTCTCCCAAAAGCATCACCTTCCAGCCTTCCCCCTTTCATACATCGCAACCCCCTTTCCACTCACTCACACACTCACTCACACTCACACTCGCATTCACACGCGCGCACACGCATACGAACACGAACAGACATACCAGCGTTTCCTGTTGGTGCGTGCGTGTCCCACGCTCTCCTTGCGTGAAGCCATTCACATCACGACGCAGTCAGATAACCAAGTCACCAAGCGAGCAAGTCAGGTTCTCAGGTGCAGACCACCCACCGCATTCTCTTGCAGCCACCACACAAGAGTGACTGAGACGATCGAAGCAACCAACCACCACAACCAACCGACCACAACGACGAAGCAAGAGCCAACCCTCCCCCTCCCCCACCGCTGCTTTCCGCACCGACACATTGCATCCATCAGCCATTCATTCACTCCACGACAAGCAACACAGCACCGACTCGCAGACCAGCCACACATATACAAGCACAGCAAACAAGTCAGTGCGTGAGCACACACACACACACACACACACACACACGCACACGCACACACACACACACACGCACACACACACGCACACGCATCCACACACACGCGCGCATGCACGCACGCATGCACGCACCATCCACTCACCCATAACCACTCCAACAACAGCACAGCATCCCCCAGCCCCAGCATGCTCCCGTCAGGTGCAAGGGGCAAAGCAACAACAACATCCACAACGACCGCGGACGGCACGACCCAGAACCGACCTCACATGGAGTCGCGTCCGCCCGTCCCTCGCGCGAGCAGCGCACAATGCCTCGTTTGGCCACCGTCCAAGAACCCCGAGCCGCGCGCTGGCAACGGCAGCAGCGATGGTAAGGCCGCCCCAGCACCGGCGCATGCACTTCCCAAGGCTCAACAGGATACAACCAGCCCCGCGGGCTCCGATCAGGCCAAGGCATCCGAAGGTACATCAACACCAACGACGTCGACCACGATGACGGCCCAACATGCAGCAACGGCAACCAGCGGCACAGGGCGTTCCTCACCACCGGCAACGCCCCCAACGCGCACGTCATCGTCCATGCCTGCATCCGTGACTACAACGCCAACCAAGGACGCCCAGGCCACAAACAACACTCAGAGTAGCAGCAACGCTGCAGGCAACACTGCAAGCAGCACCAAAGACACCAGCAGCAGCAGCAGCACCACCCGTCATCGTCGTCCTGCCAACGACGACGACGACGACGACGACGATTATGGCCATGCCGATCCTGGCCTTTGCCGCCGTATGGGCCGGAACACGATGAATCTGACGTCCCTGTTGCGCACGGAGGGTGTTGCCTACGACGATAGCCAAGGCAGCGCGGGCACAGGCAACCCAGCTTCATCATCGTCGTCATCATCAGCAAGACCAGCATCAGCATCGTCACGTAGTCAACAAGGCCCGTCACTCCGCCGCAGCAGCAGCAGCCTGCACCCTAACGATGATGACAGCAGAGGCAGGAAGCAGGACAGCCACCTCAACGTACAGCAACAGCACGGCACAGGCCTGCACGTGTCCACCTCCGCCATCAACTTTCCCACCACCTCTGCTAGCAGCGATGGGTTTGCCGCCGAGACACACGGGCAGCGCGCACAGCAGTCCCTCACCTCAACATCGTCGGCCTTCTACGACAAGCCGAGCACAAAGCGCCGCCCGCGCGGTGCAAGCCTGAGTCTCCACGGACCCAATCAGACATCGAGGATGGTGACGTTGGCGGCAGAGGCGGATAATTTGCGGAGGCGTTCGCGAAGCATGCGCAACAGGAAGAACAAGATGCAGCGCAAGCAGCAACAGCTGCTGCAGCACGGCAGGTCCGCGCACGCAGGGTTTGGCGCATTTTCCATGCATGCAAGCAACGGAGACTTTGGCTTGCCTGCAGGCAGCTTCTACCGCGGCAGCTTGGAGTCGTACCCAGAAATCGCATCGTGGGACGAGGAAGACGCAGAAGCAATTGGTGACGGCAGATACTCTGCATACATTGTGGAAGAGGTGTTGGAAGACTGGCACCACGAAACACTCATGCCATACGGCTGCTACTCACCAACGTGCCCTTGCAAGCGAGGCCCTTCCGGCAATGCAAGCACATGGCCACACTGCAAGTCAGTGAGCATGCATGCATGTGTATGTGTGTATGTGTAGATGTGTGTGTGGGTGTGTGTGGGTGTGTGTGGGTGTGTATGTGTGTGTGAAGGGGATTGTGTCAGCAACTGTGCTGCAACTGATGTATGTGTGCACTGAAGCTCGCAGGCTTGCATGTCGCTCATCCCCATCTCCGTCATCTCCAACATGTGCAGGTGCTACACGGCGTCATGCACACGCGAACACCGCCAGTCGTACTGGCAGTGCCCCAAGCTCAAGAAGCTCGTCATGCGTGAGAGGGTGAGTTGTGACTACGAGTGCTGTTGTTTGACTTGTGGACATCTTCACTCAATTGTTGTGCTCGTGTCGGTGACCATGTGTGCAAGGGTCAATGTCGGGGTAAATGGGTATTTGTTCACGTGGTCATGTGTTCATGCGGATCTCATTGCTGTTTCTGTATCTGATTTCTGACAAACGCGAACAACCATCAATTGTTCGTGCATATGTTGTGGCTCCATCAAAACCGCACCTCACCCTCACGTGCGACCTCTCATTTCCCACCACGCGTGACCACGTGCCATCACTGCCACTATCACTGCCACTATCACTGCCACTATCACTGCCACTATCACTGCCACTATCACTGCCACTATCACGGTCACCGCCGCGCATGTACACGTGTGCGCCGCGTGCAGCTGAAATATGCCCTGTCAGCAACAAAACGACAGCAGGCTGAGGTGGGCCCATACATGTCCTTCCTCCCCAGCAGCCTCTGCGCACACGTCGTCGACATCATGGTGCGTGATGGTGTCACGCGTGCGTGTGTGTGTGTTGTGTGTGTGTGCGTGTGTGTGTGTGCGTGTATGCGTGTGTGTGTGTCTGTGTGTGTGTCTGTGTGTGTGTGTTGTGTGTGTTGTGTGTGTGTGTGTGTGGTCGCTTGCGTGCATGCTTGCATGCAAGCATGCACGGAGTCATCAGAGTTTACGGCCGGAGGCCCGCTCTTAGTGTCATGGTGGAGTCTCCCTTGGCGAATGTAACCATACGCACCCTACTTTAGCCGCCCACTATTTCACACAGAGGCTCTCTCACTCATGCATACACATGTTACTCACACGCGTATAAATTTATGCATTTCCACCCACTCCCTCGCTTGCTCACCTCCCCCCCCCGCTCCAACGTACCCACGCATATCCACATCTGGTTGCAGAACGAGACTGACGATGCAGATGAGGACGAAATGGCGTCGGCGTTGACAGGCAGCGGTGCTGTTCTCTTTGCAGACGCGTCCGGGTTCACCCGTCTCACGGAGCGCCTCTCAAAGCTGGTGAGCTGGCCACATGTGATGCTTTGAGAAGGCGAGGGTGCGAGGGTGGAGCATGCATGCATGCATGCATGCATGCATGTGAACGCGTTAACGCACACACACACACACACACACACACACAACCCTTATCCCTGGCAGCCGAACGGAGCAGAGCTGCTGTGCAGCGTGCTCAACGCGTTCTTCGAGGTGCTGGTTGAGATTGTGCAGCACTACGGTGGCGACATCATCAAGTTTGCGGGCGATGCCCTGCTCATCACGTGGTCTGTGGGTGTTAGTCCCAACGCCGTTACGGAATTCCGGGACGCTGTTCTCCTCGCCGCCAAATGCTCGCTCGACATCCACGAGGTTGCATGCTTGCACGCATGAATTTCGTGTCTGCGTACGTGTGTGCATGTATGTGTGTGTGTGTGTGTGTGTGTGTGTGTGTGTGTGTGTGTGTGTGTGTGTGTGTGTGTGTGTGCTTCCTGCGCTGCATCAACTGTCATTGCCTCACCCTGCGCTCCTCCCCCTAACTCCTCTCCGTCCATCACCTCCGCACATTCGGTACGAACAGCGCTTGCACAACTACAAGGCGACCGTCATTGATGACGAAGAGATATTCCTCTCTCTCCATATGGGCATTGGCTGCGGACCGTACACTTCACTCCACGTGGTGCGTGTGTGTGTGCTTGTGCTTGGGCAATGCTCGAGTGCATATGCAAGTGCATTCACTCTTCCATACGTGGAGACATGCAACTTGCAACGCATGCAAGTGCCAACAGCTGCGCATGTTCAAACCTTTCCTTCGACTGTCTTCTTCTTTTTCACACTCGCACCTTCATACTCGCACTCACCATCATGCCCGCCAACACCCGTTCCCTCCACACAAACCTCACACATCACATTGCACGCGTCCCTCTACAGGGTGGCGCACTGCAGCGCATGGAGTTTATCATTGATGGTCCACCAATGGCCCAAATTGGCGTGGCCGAGCCTCTGGCCGAGCCTGGCGAGACGGTCCTTTCGCCAGAGGCCTGGCAGGAACTAAAATCCACCGACGCCATCGGCACAAGCGTTGTCATCCTCCACGAACGCGCGGTGCGTGCATGTGCTTGTGCATGTGTGTGTGTGTGTGTGCATGTGTGTGCATGTGATTGTGTATATTTGTATATGCGTGTGTACGTGTGCATGTGCTTGTGCATGTGTGTGTATGCGTTTGTGCTTTCGCGTTTGTTCGCACCCATTTGCGCTCGTAAGCGCTGGCACACCTCGTAGACCTCGGTCTTGGCCTGTGTGTGCTGGTTGCGTCTGTATACCTCTTCGCACTCGTGCGTAAATGCATGCACGTCACAACAAAACGTCACTTCCTCAACGTCCCCTTACACGCCTCCCCACCCCACTTGCTCCACAACCCGCCCCAACCCAACGCCCCAACAGCGCGTGCAGAACCACGAGCGCAAGGCAGCAGTGCCAAAGGCGGTACACTCCCGGTTCATGCGGCTCGACAAGCTGCTGGTGGCACCGCCAGCACCGCCCGTCCGGAGGGAGGCGCATCTGCGCGCCAAGCACTTGCCCGTGCTCAAGAGGTGAAGTTGCGTGTGTGGTGATGGCATGACGCAAGCTGGAGGGATGTTGGTTGTGGATTTGGCTGCGGGAGGGGGGGGGGCGGGGTTGTGGAGGATGCGGGATGGTGTGTCTTAATCAACTTGACACGAGTGCAATCATCAACTCACACACAAACACACACACACACACAAACACACACACAAACACAAACACAACACACACACAACACAACACACACACAACACACACACACACAACACACACACAACACACACACAACACACACACAACACACACACACACACACACACAACACACACACACACACACACACAAACACACACATATACACACACAACAGGTACATTCCGCGGGCAGTGACGCGCCAGCTGGACGCCGGGCATTCGGGCCACCTTGCTGAAATGCGCGAAGTCTCCATTTTGTTTGTGCGGTTTGACAACTTCCAGCTCGACGCGAATCAGCTGATGGGCGGGGCGCATGAGGCTGTGGAACGCGGCAACGCCCTCATGCTGCACGTGCAGCACTGCATCTACACCTGGGAGGGCTCCATCAACAAGTTCATTGTGGACGATAAGGGCCTGCTCGTCTTGTGCGTGTTTGGGCTGCCGCCCATGAAACACGCGGATGACGCCATTCGCGCAACGAGCGCAGCGCGGCTGCTGGTGAAGGAGGCGCCAAAGGCCATGGCCAAGTTCAGGGCTGCAAGCAGGCTGGCACACAACCAGATCACGTGCTCCGTGGGCGTTTCAACCGGCCACGTCTTCTGCGGCGTTGTTGGCGCCACAAAGCGCCGTGAGTACACGGTCCTGGGACGCACCGTGAACCTTGCCGCGCGCCTGATGCAAGTTGCTGCCCCGAACGAAGTGCTCGTGTGCGAGACGACGCGTGACACCACGGAGGAGTACTTTGAGTATGTTGGCTCCCAGCGCACGCTCAAGGGCATTGGCAACACCACCGCCTTTGTTCCAACTGCACCCACGGAACCATCGACGAAGAAGGGGAAGAGTCTGCAGCAGCAGCGCATTGCACGCAGGCCCGAGATTCGTCACCTCTCCAACATCCTCAGCGAGGTGCGTATCGTGTCAAATGTGTGTGTGTGTGTGTGTGTGTGTGTGTGTGTGTGTGTGTGTGTGTGTGTGTGTGTGTGTGTGTGGTCAGACCACACACAATCCGTTATTCATATCGAGGTTTGACAGAAGGTTTGGCTTCGCGTTGGAGGAAAGAGGAGCTAAATAAAGACTCCGATGACAATTGTCGCAAACAAAATGTTAGGGAAAGGGTTGTGGAACTGGGGAATGCTTAAGTTACTTGGCCCTCTACACTACGCAGGACCCCATCACTTGCGTCCTCTATATAAAGTAAGGTGTTTTAGTCCTACAGAGACTAAGAAGAGAAAAACAGGGCAACAGACGATGAATATGGTCTTTCTTTATTATATGACGT